TTTAGCCAAATACTACTAACTAGTGATCTCAGGTCTATGGCTTCTTATATCACACCTACCTAAGATTACTATTGGTCCTAAAGATTGAAATGGGATTGAACCTCTGGCTTGGAAACAAGTGGGAGAGAGAGAGAGAAAAGAGAGAGAGAGAGAGAGAGAGAGAGAGAGAGAGAGAGAGAGAAGAGAAAGCAAATGTGAGCGATACATGTTATTTGTACTTTCTAATAGCAACCTTAAAAAAGTAAATAAAAAGGGTGAAAATAATTATATGTTTCATTTGACCCAACATATCCAAGATATTATTTTAACATGCAATGAATTTACTAGTACAATATTTTATATTTTTATGATGTCTTCAATATCAGCATATATTTGACACTGACAGCACATTTTAATTCAGGGTTAGGCACATTTAAAGTGCTCAATAGCCATATGTAGCTGGGAGTTATCCTACTGGACAGCACAGGCCTAAAGCGAGCTTTTCAAATTTTAATATGCATAGTGAAATATGGTATATCATGTTAAAAATGCCAATTCTGATTCGCTGGTTGGGATGGAGCCTGAGATGCTTCACTTCTTACACGCTGGGAGGCGGGGTCAGTGCTACTGGTCCATGGACTACACTTTGAACATCAAGGAGCCAGATCATTGTGGCAAGTCTTCCTCAATCAGCATCCTTTCACCTAAAGCATTCCCTTCTTTTTCAAATTCAGACAATATCTGTTGAAGATCCTAATCTGATATTCTAATGGTTAGTCACTCACCATATTTAGATGTGGAATGACATTAATAACTTTAAAACAGGCAATATTTGATATACCACTTGCAGAAACACTGCCTGTGTCCTTATTGCCCCATTGCCCCCCCACCCCCCCACCCTCCCACTCATGCCCTCACGCACCTGGTGTCTGTGTCCATTGGTTAGGCTTGTATTTATTTATTTTAAACTTGGGAACCTGCCAGTGTTACCAGGTACTTTTATGAGAAAGCACTTAAGCACAGGACACAGGATAAGCACAACTTAATAATTCTAACCTCATAGGTTTGGCATGTTAAACTTTTAATAAAACAGACAATAGGATTGCGGAGGGAAATTTGACAATAATATTCTCAAAGCTTTAGGATTTAGGGGCATTCCTTGGTCAAGGGCATGAATATTTCATGAACTTTCCAAAGAGAAACATAAAAGGAACTTTTTTATTTCTTCCTGACCATCCTATTTGAGGAATGCGTAGAGTTCTACAGACAGATCTTAGATCTTTGTTCAACTATATATAAATATGGAAACTTAAAAAGCTAAATGAGGGGGAGACTATAATCCAAAGATCCTATATAGTCCTCAGGATGCAAAAGCTTTTAAGCTCAGAATAGTATTCTGGAGTTAACCAGTGAATTAGAATTCCTAAGAACTTGTTCACACTCATTTCAGATTTGCTTGTGAGCTTTTAGCAAGTGGTTTACTCTATTTTCTTCTCTCTCAGACGGAAAGAATAATGCTTGTTTAACCTATTACACAAAGTTGTTAGAGAAGTGTAAAGGAATTTGGTAAATTGTAACATGCAATTATAAGTTATTCAAGCATGTTGAGAGGAAGGTACTGAATCTTAAACACAAGATGGTGTCTGAACTGACAAGATGATCAGGTACTCAGAGCCCTCCCTACTGCTGCTTTTCATAATAGTTGCAGCTATCTGTTGATATTATGTTTTCCAAGTAAAAATTCAAGACAGGATTCTAATCACAGAACTAATGTCCCTTCCCACACAGGAGAAAACAGCATCCTAAATGGTAAGTAAATAAAAAGAGACTTTATGATTTTTTTATTTTAAAGTCTTTGTTTTAGTTCTTAATTGAACTAAGTATGGAACTCTGTATACCAAAGATACTTTTCCCCTAATAACAACTATGTAAGTCACTTATTGGCATGCAATCTCTTGAGTGAAAAGATCTAAAATTTAATTCTTATAGACAGCTTAAATTAAATTCACGTGGTAAAAGTTATCCAGTGGGATCATTGGAAAAGAATTAATTTTGTTTCAAAAAAATATTATATAAAACCGAGGAGGAAAAAAAAACTATTAAATAATAAAATTGAGAAAATCATAAAATATTATTATGATAAGGCATTAAATAAGGCATAAATAAAAATAAATAAGTAGAAGACAATATTATAAACATGTCAATTAATTATACATTGGTCACAACTTGGAAGCAATTCCAATCAAAATTATAAGTTTTATAAGTTGACTTATAACTTTATAAGTTGACTCTAAAAATTATCTAAAAGAGAAAAGGGCAAGTATAGCATAGATACTTCTGAAGAAGAAAACCAAGGTGAATGAATTGTCTATTTTATACCAAGAATTATTATGAAAATAACAAATGAGCAAGATTCTATTATTTCAGGGAGGGATGAATAAAACAAAGAGTGAGCACAGAAACAAACTAACTATGAAAAGATAACTTTAAGATAATCAATGAAATATGAATAAGGACTAATTAGGTATTCAATAATATTAAGAAATTATTTTGTTAGGTGTTATAATATCATCATGTTTTCTTTTAAAATGATTATTAGATAAGGATTCATACTTAAGTGTTAACAAGTGAATTATATTATCTGTATTTGCTTTAATATAAACAAAGCTGTAAAGGCAATAGAATCTAGTATTTTTAGTAAATTATTAGTTACAGAGGTAATTATGAAGAGGAAGAGGTCTGAGTTAATATCTGGATTTTGCTTCTGGTTGCAGGGGTAGCGCCGTTTGCCAAGATAGAGGATAAACAAGACACAGCAGTCTTCAGGAATTAAAATAAATTTAATTTTGGAAAATAATATTAGGTGCTAATGGGATACTGAGAGTTCTCTGAAGTTAGCAGTAGGATAATTGAGTTTGAAATAAAGAAGAGAGATCTGTGCTCGGGTTGTAGTTGTGAAGACTAGTCTACTCCAGAGAAGTGATCAAATGACCGAAGAGAACCTACAGTGTATGGTAAGAAAAAAGTCCAAGGATGAATTCTGCTGGATACCAATATGTATGAAATAAATAAGGGAGAATTCAATGACAAATTATGAGAATAAGAGGTTAGAGTATTCGAATAGTTTTGAGAAGAAAGGATTGATCAGCATGAAGATTAATCAACCCTAATCCAATAATTTAGAGAAGTTAAATAAGATGAGAACTGAAAATAATCCACAGGATTTAGAAATTGGCAGTCATTGGTGAATTTATCAGGACTTGCTTCATTTGAATAATGGTGGCAAAGGAACAATCACCATGGTTTAGTGACTATATGAGAAGTGAGAATTGGAGACACTTGTTTTGAAGAGTTTATCTGGAAACTGAAAGAGAGTTAGGGCAATGGTTGAGTACAAAGGGGATGTCCTTTGTTATAGAAATTACTTCAGTATGTTTAGAGGCAAAATGAAGTAGCCAGTTGACAGGCTCAGTTTGAGACTCTATAAAAAAAGAGGGAACAATAGATGAAGTATAGCTGGAAAGACAGATGAAAAGTATCAAAAACAAGTTGAATTCGCTCTAAACAGCCCAAGGAGTTCTTTTTTTTCTCTGAATCTAAAAAAATAAATATGAGGGAATATTTCACTTAGTAAGAATGAACTATTTTTTTTTTTTAGACTCAGGGGAAGACATATTCTGAATGCAGATGGCAAGCTCAGAGACCAACAGCTGTCATAATCAAATTATGACTAGAAATTATCAACAGGGCTCTGGGGGGGGAAGGGGGGTTAATTTATGAGTCAATTTTGGTTGACAGAAAGACTGACAGATCAGGTGGTAGTTTCTATGTTTAGACCCAATGTTCTCTGTGAAATGTGAAGCAAATCATATGTGGATAAGAGTCAGGGCCAGCAGCTAAGAGCAATGGTTTTGAGAGAGTGAACTTTAGAGTCTTTGGGGGGAGGGTGGTGAAATTAAGAGTTGAGAAAAAGCCCATGAGTGGGTAGCTAAGGGCCACTCCAGCTGAGTTTGGAGACCATAAATTATAAGTAGCAGCCATCTACACCTTTGTGAAATTTTCTTCATCAATACTCAGAGGTATGGCTCCAGGTGCAAGCAAGAGATGTCAGCATCAGTCTACTTTAGGGGGGTTAACAGGACAAAGCACAAAAAGATGTGGGCAGTGGGTATTATTGCAAGAGAGAAGTTAAATAATATGCCATGCATCTAGGTTAAACAGGATAAGGGGTAAGTAGTGATGGGCTAAGAAGTCTTTAGATAATAGCAGTAAGTATGGATAGAAGATGGCAGGGGTGTCAGAGGAATATTGTTACAAGTGCCTACTAATGAGCTTGGATACAGCAGTGGAGAGTTAAAGCAGAATACTGCTACAATTTTGTCATTCTATAATAAGTTGAGAGATAGTGGTGTAAGCAGTTAAGCTTGAAAGCTATTGAGCAGGAGGCAGAGGAATGAGATCTGTGACTAGATTGACAGTGTAGAGCAGTTCCTATGTGATGGGGTCATGGCTGCAGAGGAAAGAGTAGGAGTCAATAGTAAAAAGAATGATGGGTGGAAAGAATCCCAGAATAAGCCAGTGATAAGAGTAAATGAGAGTGAGCCAATCAGAGACCCACACTTTGGTTGGTGGCCAAAGGACAGTGGGAAGAGAATGTGGTAGATGGACCACTCCAGTGACTTCTAGACAAACCAAGTCCCAAGTGGTCAAGGGTCTTGTGAGGTTAGCAATTTTTAGGCTCCACTTATCATTTAAAAGGAATGTCACTGAGATTTTACTTATCTCATCTCTGAAGAGTTCTCTTTCTCAGGCTGTTAAAGGGAAAAAAATGCATCTATATTCATTTCCTATCTTAAAATTTATTTATTTATTTATTTTTCATTCAAACCACTCTTACCATGTTCCTATTATGTACACATTAGTATTCTAGGTACAATGCAGAACATGAAATAAAAGTCATTTATCCCTGCCTCTGAGGAGCTTGTTTTCTTATTGAAGGTATGAGAAATGTGTATATTTACCTCAAATCTGTGGATCTTGGAAGAAGTCTTTTTTTCCCATTAAAGTAGACTTCAAAATCTTCAGTCTTCAGCCTGTGGGCATAGTCAATATATCCTGATATCTCTTGCCCATGAGAATTCTTGTCACGAATGAATATCACAGACTGGTAGTACAGAAAAATAAAGAATGGAGAGAATAAATTAATAAAAGTCATTTGAGTAAATGTATCCTATATAATAAAAGAGAAACATGTAAATGAACCATCCCTCTGCTATTCCCAAGCCACGCCCACCAGCCATGCCCACCAGCCAATCAGGAGCGAGTATGCAAATTAACCCAACTAAGATGGCGGCAGCCACAGAGCTGGAGCGAGCAGGAGGCTTGGGTTACGTTCAAGGCTACAAAGTTTCA